ATTGGAATTCAGTCTTGAAGAATAGATAAAGCGGTTTCAAATAAAAATGTAATGCAGGGTACGATTTTTGCTCGTCAGAGAGAGATTTATCATACATTATGGACACGTTTTAGCTGCATTTTTTTTTCTTCTGCTTTCTAAGACACAAACCTAAACCGTTGCAGTATTCTTTATTTTACAGTCCTGTCTGTTTGCCTTCTCGATCACTACGAAGCCTACCTAATCAGGTGTTGATCACAGCAGGCTGAATCGTTATTGTTCGCTATGGATGAGGTCATGATGCGCCGCCTCCAGCTCCAGAAACAAATACAGCCTTACTGTCACATCCTTCAGTTCATCTCTGACAGCCTCATAAAATCCCCACAAATTCTCCAGGCTAAGAGAAAGTAGCCATTTTTCAAGGGTTTCATCCATACGGGCAAGAAATGATACTGACAAGAGCGCTTCTTTACAGTTAGGGGAGAGATAAGAACACCGCAAGCTGTCATGTTCCTCCCTCAGGCCTGCTAATTTGGCCTGAAACTGCACCAATTTGATTATTGAAGATCCAAACTCAAGTGAAGAAGAACAGTTAGAAGGTAAAACTACTAATAGTTTCTTTTTGTTTTCTGAAATCATGCGGGGGCTTGAGCTCCCCAGAATGATTTGACATATAAATATGATTTCCCATACGACTTGAAGGTTGAGAAAGATGGCTAAATGCGCTAACCTGACTCTGCCAAATGGATTTGCTCCGCATATCCATCTGGAAACCTTCTGTTGAAGTAATTTTGGGAAGGGGCGAAAATACTGGTTAGCTGATTGGCCTATGTTGGTGATAGACGGGCCAAATAAACCAATCAGATCAACGAAGCATATGACGTACTAACAGAGCGACGACGAAAACACAACCACAAGCCAGGCTACTCTTGCTGCTCTAGCTGAAACCAGTCGGGAGAAGAGCAAAAACATCTTTTCCTCTGAGAAAAGCCTCCAGAGCAGTGTTTTGCTCTTCTTTCAGTGGAGAATTACTCTGTAATTAAACTAGCTCGATAGCCACGCTAATGCTAATTTCATCGGCTGAAGCCGCCATGTTCTTTAGACTGAGCTGTCGCGCTTCTCGTTGCGTCACACCTCAACCCGCCTCAAAGCCAACGCTGATTGGACGTTCGTTTGGTGAACGGCTCCAAATTTTCTTTAACGGAGAGTCTCCAGACTGATCTGCGAGTGAAACCTTGAAAGCTCGCGAGATCAGGATGGTCTCACCAGGCTATAAATGCGCCCCAGCACTACCATAAATGTTTACTTCCAGAAAAAAAAAGCACACATGCTTGTGAGGTCATTGCGTCCTCTACTGCGCATACGGGCCACTTACGTTTCAATATTGAGCATAATTTAAAAATGTCTGTGTCAAGCTTGCTGCAACACACTGCTGTAAGAGTATAACCAGGAAGCGAGGTAGGAGGGCAAAATAGGTTTAGCGCCACCGCAGCACGGGAGGGAGAATTACGTCCAGGAGCAAATGGATAAAAATAGACCGGAGGAAAAAGAAAAAACATGAATCGATTATCTCACGGACGTGTCGATGCATCGGATCGTCGGCTGTTGGATCAATGCATCGATACAAAACGATTATTATTTACACCCCTAGAAACAACCTCCTTCCCTCAGTTAGGGCCGGATCTATCAAAGGTTTGCGTGTATTAAAACGTGAGCTATTTCACTGCGCACGCTAAAAAATGTACAAACTGATCTATCAACAGCGTGCTAAAATGATTTGGTCTTTAAAACGTGCTAAATAGCGCCTCTTATCCATTTAGTACTTTTTCTGCAATGAATATGCAATATGGGGCGTTTACACGCAAAAGTGCGTCTTGTGGGAGGAGAACATGTAAATATATTAATTTAGCACTCGCAAAGTGATTTATTAAACCTGAAAGCAATTTTGCTAACGCTATCTGACTCTATATTTAACACGTTTCAAAAGAAGGTGCAAATGGTCTGTATGCGTAATTGCGCACACATGGCAGCGGTTATTGTCGCAAGAAGGAGACATCGAAATGAAGCAAGGAGACGCAGAGAACGCATTTTTTCACTACGTGTGAATATTTTTGGAATGAACGAGGAAACGATCATCAAAACATATCGTTTATCCAGCATTGCCATTTTGGAGCTGTTGGGGGAACTCCGAATGGATTTGGAGCCAGCCACAAGGAGGACCCACGCAATACCAGATATCACGAAACTCCTTGCAACATTGCACTTTTTTGCATCTGGGATCTCCCAATCTCGTTTTTCAGAAGTGCTGTCCGACGTTTTAAATGCCATGTCGCCCGGACGCCCTAACGGAGAACCCCGACCTCTGCGCCTGTGGAGCAACATGCCAATGCTGCGGGGATGCGTTTTTTTTTTTTTTACTGCAGTGAAGTAGAAATTCAGCCACATACAACCTTAGGGAATAAAGGCTGCCAAAGTGTGTGTATATGTGTATATATATATATATATATATATATATATATATATATATATATATTTTTTTTTTTTTTTTTTTTTTTTTGGGAGGGGGTGGGGGTGTCACTGTAATATTAAAATTTCTTAATGCACTAGTTTGCACAAACAACAAACTACTTTGCCGCAAACCACAAAACGCGCGAAACCATCATTTAAATAGGGCATCTCCAACAGTTTTGCACCTGCCACCAGTTACGTAATCGCTCTTGTTAAATCACCCGCAGACCATGGTTCAGCCCCTCGCGCAAAATTCCAGTTTGCGAGCGCAAATTACTGCACGCAAAATTGGATCTTGATAAATCCGGCCCTTAGAGCGTTGAAGATGGGTGGAACCTGGGTTTTCCGACGTGACAATGAGACAAAGCACACGGCCAGGATGACCAAGGATTAACTCTGGAAGAAGCATATCAAGGTTCCGGTGTGGTCTAGCGGCATAATACACACACAATGTTTTTATCACTGCTGCTTACCTTTATCAAGGCTGCTCTTTAAAAAATGAAAGTCTAGAGAGCTGCACTTAACAAAATTGCTTTTTGTATACACTTGTGTGTACAAAATGACAAAATAAAATCTATTTAAGTCTCTAACTGTGGAGGCCACTGTGCCCTTAGGAACCTTGAGTGCTGCAGGAATTCTTTTGTAACCTTGGCCAGATCTGGGCCCTGCCACATTCTTAAATATGAGTGTCACTGCAAAGCGACTGAATACCTATGACCATTTGATATTTCAGTTTTTATTTTGTATAAAATTTGCAAAAAATTCTACTTTTCAGGTTTTTTTTCCCTGATTTTTTTAATGAGAAATAAAATTAACTTTATAGATTTTAGCAAATGGCTGCAATGAAACAGAGAGTAAAAAACTTAAACTTGACTTGTCTGAATACTTTCCTTAATCACTGCATATATATATATATATATCACAACAATGATCCCTTGAGGCTTTTCCTTTACAATATAGGAGCCACAGCCACACCTTCTAATCCTGTTGGATGTGTGTAAAAGTTCAGTTGAAGCTAGATTTCCATTATTCCTTATCGCCAAACCAAACCACATGGGTATCACTACATCCCAAAATCTGTCAGAAGATCCAGAGACTTTACAACAGGACTGATTTCCACTGTCTTCATACACGAGAAGGACAATCATCATACTGCACTCTGGTGGATAAAATATTTCACAGCAACTGTTTTCTGCACCATGCAACTCACACTTGACTTCATTCTTTTTTCTCTTTTAGAAGCTAGTATTCATTTGCTAACTGTAAACCTAAATAATGAAGAAATAATATATTCAACTGGGAAAAATAGACAGGAAAGAAAAAAGAGATAACTCAGATTTGACTCCTTCCATTTTTCAAGGGCAAACCTGTTGAGACGCAAGCGTCAACGAGGCAGACACATTGCATAAAAAGAAAGAAGCGATGCATGATGGCACTTTAATGGTTGTAAAGTAGGTTGTTAAAATGCTGAGAGTTGTAGGACGGTCGGTGCACCAACAGCAGAGCGAGGGAAATAAACGGGATGGGTGGAGGGAGGGACTGATAGAGGAGGGAGGGAGAGTTTGTGGATAAATCCTTACTACATAATGATTAGAGCTCACAAGCTCTTCCTGTGACATGGAATGTAGGAGTCAGGATTACAGCTGGCAAGTGAAGCCAGGACAGGAGCTGTGCTGATAGCAGGAGGAGGGATCCAGGTGGGAAAACTAGACAAACGCAACTGAACAACAAGTGCTGCCTAAAGAAGAAAAGAGCAAGTTTTGTTTCAAAGGAGGCCAAGAAGAGCATCCAATAATTTCCTAACTCCGGCAGCAGACTTGCATCTGGACCCCTGCTCCGGCCATCTGTCGCTGGCCGCTGACAGGCAGCTGGATCATTTCTCAGACTCCTAATTTGATGGAGTGGCTGGTTGCACCAGAGAAGGAGAAAGAGGGAGGATGGGAAGCACAGATGAGGGTGACCCTGCAGAATCTGTGAACGATGGGGCGCACAGAGCTGAGGACCGTCTCACCCTAAGATGGAGTTTTTCTGCGGCTTTTTGAAGTTGGGAAGCGATAAACGAAGACCAAGGGTCTGAACTGTGAACATTGGATATGGCTGAAGTTTGAAAGACGTTTCACTGGACGTGATGAACTCCTGAGGACATGAAAAAACTGCTTCTTTAATCTCAAATATGACCAGAACTCTTTTCAGAACCATCTGGGATATCTAACCTTCAATCTGGAACATTTAGCAGCTAAAAAAGACACTGAGGACAGCCATATTTTGTTAATTGTCCTTCCTCCCGTCTTCTTCCTCTGACACCTGCTCACCTTCATCACTTTTTTCCTTTCTCCTCCAGCTCCTCTTCTTCCCTCCTCCCCTTCAACCAGCGAGTGATAATGTGACCTTCTGCCAAAGTGCTGGAAAGCATGCCACCGTCGCAGCAGGCTCGACTGTTGCCGCTACTGAAATAGACTCAAACAAGTGCAGGGGGAGGAAGAAGAAGAAGAAGGGGGAGAAAAGGGGGAGTAGGGGGATCCAAACAACGAAGAAAAAAAGGATAGGAGGGGGGGAAAAAAAGGAGAAAGTGGTAAAGGACAGCTGAAGCCGAGGACGAGGGATGAGTGGTGATGAGCCAGAGCTGGATGTGAACTGCGGCCACAGGTAAAGATTCACCTTCATCCAACACTTTGTGCTGCTTAGATGTGTCACCATCACTTCATTCAATCCTGGAACGCGTGATCAAATGGTCTAAATTGAGTGCTGGATAGAAACGCTGTCTGCTGTGTTAGTTCTGCTGTACCCCCCCCTCCTCCTCCTCTCCCCCTTGTTGAGCGGATCATACATCAGGACCGTCAGCCAGCTTGCTGCGTTTGGCTTTTACACAAGTTGGGAGTGTTTGGAGACTGTAACTGTTGCTTTAAGTCGGTCCGCTCAGGGGAAGATTAGGCACACCGGATCGATGCATCACTCTAAACAGTTTTTGTTAAAGCTGGCGGCTGGAAGAGAGAAGCTGCTGCTGCATGACTTGTTCTCAAAACCAAACTATTAACAAGAAAGATTTTTAAGGTGCTGAACTGCACATACAGGAGAGACAATTAAAACACAAAAAATACACAAATCAATTCAAAGACTTCTGCATATGTACGGAAAATATAGATTGTGCTTATGGAGAAAAGCTCCTAATAATGCAACATCAGAATGTTCTGATTGTTCTGGAGACCAGAAACTGAACTCACACTGGACGGTTTTTGTTTGCATTATTATTATTAATATTTCCACCCGTGACATCAAGGTCGCAGGTCAGCCGAAGTTAAAAGGTTCAATTGTTTGAGTGATTTGAGCGAAGAAGCAGGATGAAGGATAATCAGTACAGATTTGCTTTGGTCTCTTCCTCTTTCTCAAGCAATACAGCCATATTTTTACTTAAGAGAGAACCTCTAGAGAAAAAAATAAATAGACTCTTTCTTTTAAATTCCCAAGATGGAGCGTGGATGCAATTAGCATATTTTGTAGCCATGATTCATGTTTGTTTTGTTTGATATTCTTTTCTAAATAGGAGTATACGAATAAATCCACCAGCTGATCTAATCTATCTGTAAAAATCACCTTCTGTCAATTCTCTATAATTTGTATTTACAATTTAGACCAGCTATTTATTATTTAAAGCGTTTTTATTAAAACAAGATGGAAATATTGAAGGTGTCTTATGATCTTATAACAAATGACAGTGAAAGTAATTAAAAAACAAAACAGAATTGGTCAAAATGCTAATCGGTGTCATGTTTTTTAAAGATCTATTATTGGTTTATTTATCCCCATTTTTCTTTTTTGACTTCAGTAAATCAGATTCAATCAGGTTTCCAAAAAAAAAAAAAAGAAATGTAAAAACAATCAACTGGACTGGAATGAGACTGTTTTTAATTTTCTTTTTTCAGAACGACTATGACCAGCGTCAATCAGGTTTCCTTGATAATGACATCACAAATACAACTTTCTTAAGTCCACATATAGTAATGGGGACAAAATCCTCGACTCCACAGGTGAGAGCAAGCTTTCCCTCCAGGAGAAAAAAACGAGACTGTGGGCTGAGACACTGCAGCAGCAGTTAGGCAATTGAAAAATGGCTCTTCATTATGTTATGCCAACCATATCTTGGTTTCAGTAATTGGATGTATGCAACCTGGTGTAATTTAAACATCTGTGCCTGTGTGTGTGTGTTTGGCTTCGGGGGGTGGGGGTGTTACCTGTCTAGCCCTCAGAGTGAGAAACCATTTTTCCAATTTCACCATCAGATTTAAGACCAGCTGTTGCAAAGTGAGGACATTTTGCTGGTCCTCACATGCTATCTTGCTAATGGTTAGGTTTAGAGCTGAGGTGTCAATTGGGTTAGGGTGAAGTACGCATTGGCAATTGTTAAGGTTTAGGGTTGGTTTTAGGGTTAGGGCATAGAAAGGGTTGAAAATTATTGAAAATCTATGGGAAGTCATTGGAAATCAACACATGGTCCTCACTTCATATAGCAGAAAAATGTGGCCATGGCTTTAATACCTGGTGGGGACAATTTCCTAGGAATATGCTACATTTTGGGGACTCATAGGTACTTGTGGGGAACAACAAATGGTCCCCATAAGGAAAGTTTCTCTTCTTGGGGTGGGGGTTAGGTTTAGGACTAAGGTGTGAATTGAGTTTAGGTTAGGTTTAGGGATAGGTATGTGTCGGTAATGGTTAGGTGTAGGGCAAGGGTCACGGTTAGGCCATAGAAATTAGTGGGAAATGAATGAAATTCAATGGAAGGTCCCCACAAGGATATTGTGACACAACATGTGTGTGTGTGTGGATTTGTTTTACCTACAATGTAAAGGATTTTTTTTTGTAACATATCCCAAATGTCTCGACTTACATATACATGTACATATGGGGACATTGCAGGTTAAGTTAAGTTATTCAGCCAGGCCAACAATGCCCTTTAACCCTTTAAAGCCCGATCCAAGAATAAAACAAAACAGAAAATAACTTTTTTTTGGTTTGAAGTCCTTATTTGGCCTTTCAACAAAATATGTAAAAAGAAAAAACAGAAATACATTTTTGATATTAATAATTTATTACTATGCGATAAGTCAAGATTATTTTTTGTCTAGTCTTCTGCCCTCTGTTATCAGGTATATCTGATTGTGTACTATAGAATTTTGAGCAAAGTTTTTACCATTAAATTATGCAAAAGGTGTCAGACGCAAAACATTTCAGAAACCGTATGTATCAAATACGATACATTTGGCATTACAGGGTTAACAACCCCCTTTCAGAGACATAGACAGGTATGTAGGGTTGGGAATTGAAAAGATTTTCACGATTCCGATTCCCTTTTCGATTCTATGAAACGATTCGATTCTTTATCGTTTCTTTTTTCGATTCCAATTTGGGGAAAAAAGGAGAACAAACAGTTTGATTATCAGCATCAACTTTGTTTACTTAACCATTGCACAATCTTACAAACTCAACAAGATCAAGATGTCCACAGGAAATGTGAAACTGGAGTAACATCTGTGTTTAAATGAAAAATGAATACAAGAACAAACTTAATAACCAACAATGTCTAATAACAAATGATGGGATAATAACCTATTTTAAATAACACAAAATACTGATTATAAAACAGTAGTAGGGAAAATTAACAGTTCTTTTGCAGAAAGATGAGGATATCTGCTTTTTCTGGAAGGATACGGGATCTTTCAGGGCTTATGGTGTCCAGCCGTGGAGAACACCCTCTCAGATCGGGTGGAGGAAGCCTGCACACAGAGGTCGTTTTCAGCCAGTCCAGATAGCAAGGGCAGAGTATCTTGCTTGTTCCACCACCACAGTGTGGCGCTATCCCTGCAGGGGATGGAGGGCAAGCTTTTATAGAGCTGGATTTCCTGATCTACCCTCTTTGATTCACAAAGTGACCGCAGCTCGTTGTCTTCCTCCTCGAATAGTTCTTCCAACTTGCGTAACTTGCGTAACTTACGTGAAAAACGTGACGTAAGTCGTGCTCCCCAGAGCCGGCGCTTTAGGCTCTGGTGCTGCGGGAATCGAAAAAAGAATCGTTCAGCGAGCTGCCAAACAATGCCATGGAATCGGAAAATACGGAACCGGTTCTGAACAGGAACCGGTTTTCGATTCCCATCCCTACAGGTATGGGGTATAACAGGCTAACAAAAGAAGCTAAATGACCCCCATTTCAAAGGGGTGGACCCGTCCGTCCGTTTCAATTTGCATGTTTTCTAAACAAAAACAAGGCTTCTTTGGGCTACTGTTTAAAACCTCGAACTAAAAATTATTCCTGACATTTTGAATAGAAAAAGCTTCCTGGATGGGAAGAGAGATATCTTCAAACCTGAAAACAAAGTCCAGTGGATCGTATTTCACCTTTTTGGAATATGGGGACATTCAATTGGTTCCCATATGGTAAAGTTCTGTCCTGTCTGTTGGTGTTAGGTATATATTGGTAATAGTTAGGGTTAGGGTAAGGGTCTGGGTTAGGTCATATAAAAGGAATGCAAGAGATGTCCTTATATGTCATGAAAACTCAGCTGTGGGTGTGGGGGTATGTGTGTTAAAGAGCAATGAAACTATTGCAACAGATCACGAAATAATCTCACACACAAAAATCACTGCAAAGAGCAACGCACCAGCAGCCACCATGAGAGAATCTGCAGCTGGGTGTCAGACTGAAGCACAAACTGATCAATAACGAGTCATACAGTCTGGGAATAAACTGCCTGTTTTTTTTCTTCTTTTTTTGTTTAAACAGCTAAAACTATTTCATGCTCACCTATTCTTACACACACAAAAAAAAACACTTCAGTACTTTAAAATAAAGGTTGATTTTACGCAGACAAATACAATCTTTTATTCAGCATACACCTAATTATCCGACTGGCACAAACTCTAAACAGGACGTTTTTTTATTGTTTTCGTAAAGCTCTGAAGCTGCAGCGTTCTGTCTCTGGGTCCGTCCACATGTTCCTTCTATTTTATTTATGATGCCGCCGTCAGTCTGCCTCTGCTGATCAGTTTCAGATCATTAAATGTTTCCATCTGTTCTTCAAACAGGGGGAACTCAAACAGATCCTATACAGTTTTATTCTCCTTCGTCAGTCAGTCACCTGCAGATGTTTCACGGGAAACGCTTCATGATCCACTGATAACTGATTGAGCTTCTGACTCCAACCCAATTATCCAGGATGGGGTCATATCCTCTCACCAGGAGTGGCAGAGAGAGCGGACCGATCGGCTACAGCTAAAACCCAAACACTACGGTGTTAGTTATCTTTTTGACTTTGGTTCTATTTCCCCAAAGATCACAGCATTTCCTCCTCATCACGTCTGGCTGATTAGTTTCAACATCAGTTAAAATTGCCTCCTGGCTCACTTTAGCAAAAACGTGTTAATGTGCTTCTGTTTCTTCAGCTATTTAGAGGAAGAAATATAGCACCTGTTGCTAATTCAAATGTTCTGTTTCATTCATTGCTGCTGCAAAAACATGACTTGAAGAGGAATAAAATAACCAGAGATTTGAGCGCTTGTATTGGCAGTAGGACTGTGAATAATTCATTGTAATTACGGTAATCAATTTCTTCATGGACAAGCATGTGTTGATTAATTAAACCACTTTGTCAAGG